TTAATGAACTGACAACGTTTTTATTTCTGACTATAAATGTATGATTTTATTTGTGTTTCACTGAGTCTTTGCTCTGTGGATTATTTCTGTTTTTATTAATTATCGGCTTTATTCATGTAGAAATCTTTCTACCTTTTCAGACTGATCGGTTTCCGTGGATTGATCGTTATCAGCTGTTGAAGTGTCATCGTCTTCATTTGTCTAGAAGCTGCCGCCGGCTCCCAGATGATCACATCGACCTGCTGCTCAACGCATCAGGAGTTTTTATTCCATCTCACCTGAAATGGACTCAACGTTTTCTTCCTTCATAGGAAAAATGGCTCCTAATAGAAATAATGTCCCTTCCTGCTTCATTGCAGCCGGTTCTTTTAGATCATTTCCTCCATGAAGCTCTGAGATGTGGATGACGTTCAGCTCTTCAGGCCAGTTTTGGATGTGAAAGCAGCGTTTGCTCTGTGGATTATTGCCTGCATTGACTTGTGTAAATGAGTCAAAATGTGTCTCATGTTGCTTGTATTCAGTTGATTTTGGTTAAAAACCCTTGCAGGATGCTCTGTGCTCAAACTTTTCATTTCCTTCTAATCATTTTGATGAGAAAATGAGATGTTGATGGACGTCTGCTAAGCTAAGATTTACCTCCATATTGAGTCAGATTAGTTACTAACCTACTAGTCACTAGTAGGTTAGTAACTAGTGATGATGGGTTATGCAGAAAACGTCCCTCCATCATGTAGCCTAGCATGAACTAAACAAACTGGTTAGCATCTGTGTTTGCTTTGAGTCAGGACTAAACTTTGTTTCTGATGTAACAATATAAATTATGTTCAGGCAGATTTGATCGAATTAACAAACAGAAGTTTGGGCCGATTTTTTATCTCAATGCTGTAAACATCTGGAGCATTTATTTCACCGCTGAGTTCCTCAAGCTGACAGCTCTGCTACGCTGCAGCTAGCATAGCCAATCATGCTCTGCTATGCTGCAGCTAGCATAGCCAATCATGCTCTGCTACGCTGCAGCTAGCATAGCCAATCATGCTCTGCTATGCTGCAGCTAGCATAGCCAATCATGCTCTGCTATGCTGCAGCTAGCATAGCCAATCATGCTCTGCTATGCTGCAGCTAGCATAGCCAATCATGAGTGCTAAGGCTAGTTAGCTTAGCCACAGTGAGTTGTTTCTCTGCCATTAGCTCATTTGTGAGCAAGTACAGAGGTTGATCGACAGCGGTAAGCCCCTCCTCCTGGCTCTGATTGGTCCTTAGCTTTTCTCAGGAAGCAGATCGATCTTTTCTCAGATTATCTGTCTCATAACAAACTGGAGACACTTTATAAAAGTTGCAAAGTGCACCTTTAAAATCCAATATGGCTGCTGGTGTTGGCTGACTCAGCAGATGTGTAACTGTTTCCTGTTTGTCAGTAACGTCTCGGTGAAACTCGGCTCTCGTTAAAGATGCAGCTCCAGCTCTTGATGAGTCGTTAGTGAGTGGAGGCTCTGCTGCGCTGTGATTGGCTGAGGGAAGGAAACGAGGAGAGTTGTGGAGTCAACCCAAAGCCTGACCTTTGTTGGTTTCTCCTGGCCTCGTTAAGCAGACTAACAAGAGGCTCCGACTGACACTTCTCCACTTAATGAGAAGAATCTGAACAACAGAGACTGTAGTTGTTTTCCTGTCAGTCAGCCGATCCACGCTCCGCACATTTCACTCAAACTGCTTTTATTTGCTGCTTCTGCCTGTAGGATGAATCTTTACTGCTAATATTTGTTTGGAGGTTGAATGAAATCAGTTCTCCTGATGCTGCTCTGGATGAACTTTGTCTGTGAAAAATATTTATTTTAACGAGTTAAATGAGTTTTGTCTTATTTCAGGTGCATCATACTAAAAATAGACCGAGATCCTGGGTTAGATTTTGTGTTTTTGCACATCTTTATTTTGAACTTTGTGACTTTGCCTCCTGTCAGAGCAACCAGCTCCATCCATCTTCACGCTGTTTCAGATCAATGAAAGCTACAGTGAAATAAAACGTGTTGTTGTGGAGGACATGTTTAATATCAGCCTCAGCACCAGGGAGCTTCTCCAATAAGAGCCGCCATGTTGGCGCGTCGGCTTCACAGCGCAGGCTTTTAATTTCCGTCCGATATTAATATCCGCTCTCAGAGTCTAACGGCCTCATTGCCAGGTTTCATTATCTGCCCTGCGGCGCGCTGCAGATCCGCCGCTGATGAAACACGAGCGGAGAAAATAATCCGACCTGAGCAGCAAAAACACAAAGATGCAGAAGATTTGACTCCTTGGAATAGAGACGTCCAGTTGGAGCTGCAGCTGCATCTGCACTGAAATGATCAAAATACATCAATACAGATTAAAAAAGACATTTTACAGCAGGTCACTCATGTTAGTGTTCAACCGACTGGACAAATCTTCCATCTTAGAAGAATTAGAAACAGATCAAGTTTTTCATCCATGTTCAAACAGAAATATTCTCTGATTTAAAATTGAATTCAGTCAGGATTTAAAACGTCCTGCTGCTGTCAGTGGAGGAACTTATCGATCCTATTGGTCTGTCTGTAGGTTATGTGAGCTGCTTTGCAAATTGCTGTCAGGTTGCAGGAAGGATTTATTTCTGCCAGGCAGAACCAGAACCGCTCAGGTTCTGGTGTGGCTCAGCAGATGCAGGAACCCGAGTCACAGTTTCCCTCAGCGGAGGCTCAGCGGGACTCCATGATCAATTACAACTTATTGTGACGTCACCCAGCAGCGCTCTGTTCACCACAGTAAAGATGGCCGCCGCCACCGCTTCTGGGTCAAGTTAAAGATGAAAGGAAGACAGTTGGGTAGAAACTAGTTACATTTACTTGAATAAGTTCAGTTTTTACTTTCAGGAGCATCTTTGGTACCTTTATACTTTATACTGCAGTGATTATTGTGAAAAAAAGCCTCAGCATTCTCTGGCCTGTGAATGAAAAACATGTTTCATCCAAAAACACACAAAGCTGCAGTTTCTGTTTAATAAGTTTTTCATTGACATAAACTGATTATCTGATTCATCACGAATTAATGAAGCAAATAAGTTTTTCAAGTCTAAGGTTGCACATTGCCTTTGTAACTGATCCTCTGTGACTGACCACAAAGCAAAGATGTAATTCATTTTGTGAAGCTTCAGAAGCTTGACAGCCTCCAGAAGTCGGCGTTGAACCCAGAGCCTCAGTTGGCTTCACCTCCAGCTGTGCAGAAAGAATCCTGGACGAGATTCCTAAAACATGAGGCCGGTTATACGGTGAGGAAGACGAAAAACAACTGAAAGTATTGATTCTACTATGGATTGTAGACATGAAGGATCCCGGACAAGCCCCCAAAATTACCAGTGAAACAGGACAGAGGCAGGAGAATAAAAAAAACTGTCCAGATTTCTGTAAATGAGTCTAAAACACCAAAAATTATTTCAGTGTCTAAAAGCAAGCAGACATCTTGCTGTTGGAGGAAATCCTCTGTCACAGCGTGAAGCAAAGACAAATTAGAAAACATGTTTGTTTCTCTTAAATTCTCATTATTTGTGTTAAATTAGCATCAGACGGTGTTGACTTATGCTAGTTTTAAATCTCTGAGGATTATTTGAGTTTCTTTTTCTTTGAACAAAAGTTGGATCTTTAAAGGAGAGGTTTGTGTTCCTTGAGAATTGGACTTGTTTTGTTCCTGACCTCCAGCTTGACTGACAGAAGTCGTGCTGGTCTGGACTGCTGACTGATAATTAACATGCTATCAGCTGCATTGTGCTCTAATTGGTTCCTTTTGGAGAGCGCTCAGCGTGGGATAAAGAAAGCTCTGCTGCTGGAACAAAGACACAGATGAACACACAGATCCACGGCCGCACAACAACAGAGACGTGGTGGTTAGTCTGCAGGTTCAGGCTGGTAACCGGTGATTAGGTTCCTGTGTGGAGGTGCTGTCAGCTGATCAGGAGCTGAAGGTCTGGATGGAGGCAACAACCAGGCGTCGCTAACCCAGTTCTGAAGTTACACAATCTGAACTAACAGCAATAATTTTAGCTAATTTACCTTGTAAAATAAATTCAGTCATATTCTCACCATTTTATTCATGTCTTAATGTCAGTTTTGAACTTAAAATGTTATTAGCTTGCTACATATTTGGCTATATAAATATTTAGTGACCAAGCTATTGGCTTGGAGCCGGCTAGTTGTTTAGTTTACAAGCTAAATATTTAACGAGCTAAAATCATATTTACCTTGAAGCAAAGTCTTTACTTGGCAAGTTAAATATCTCAGTGATTTTTTTTATTTTTATTTCTTGACTGCTTTCTTTTTGGTCAACATGAGCGCATGATTACGACCAATCAGATTCCTAGGAAATATTTAGTTTGAACTACAAATTAAGCTAATTATTTTGATCAATAAGAAGGGAATATACCTTAATCAGCAACATTAAAAAAACCAACGTGACTCATCTTATTTTTAATGAAGCATAATTGGATGAGAATTAATTACAAATGTCAAAGTAAATTAGAAAAAAATGAAGTTAATAAAAACATTTAAGCCCAGATTATGGGATGAACATTTTGGGTTATTAGTCCTCATATCTGGACATTTTAATCTGAATATTTCCATTATTTTTACTGTCATTAATCCCTCCAGTGTAAACCCACTGCAGTTCCCCCAGTGACCAGAGGGGGCGCTGCAGCTCAGTTAATGTCAATGCTTGGAGCTCCGTCGGTGCGGCTCCGTTCCTGTCGATCCGGCTCCGGGTTTTCTTTCCCCCTGCTTTAGATCAATGGCTCCAGGCTCTGCCAGGCTCTCTCTCTCTCTCTCTCTCTCTCTCTCTCTCTCTCTCTCTCTCTCTCTCTGTCTCTCTCTCTCTCTCCAGTTGGATGTGTCTGAAGGAAAGAGAGAGGGTCTTCCTCCCTCCTCCTCCTCCTCCTCTTCCTCTCCTGGCGACCCGCTCCGCCGGTCCTGGCCGGCAGACGGAGCAGACCTCCGGGAAGGCAGCGCGGACCGGATCGCGGCGCTGATCTGGAATGATGGAGAGTCTGCCCTCTTAGTTTCTGGAACTTCCTCTCCCTCTGAAATAACGCAGGAAAACTGATTCCTCTGCTGGAATTTGATTCTTCTTTCTGTTCTTTTTTTTTTGGAGGAGATCAGAGGGTTTTGCCTCCTGTTCCTCCTCCAGCCTCTTCATGGTTTCCACCTGACAGCTGGATTCTGCAGGATTTTTGGGGAAGTGAGTGGGATTGTGGGGCGAACCGTGTGGATTTGGGAGCGTCTCTCCTGAACTCAGAGGGACCGGATGGGCAGCATGGAGCTGGGCAGCATGGAGCTGGGCGCGCTGGGATGTACTGGAATGTTTGGAGGCTGCTGAGGATGAGGAGGATCTACCTGCTGCTGCTCTGCTGGCTGCTGGGAGCGCACAGCTCAGCCCAGGGTGAGGGAACCACCGTGTGTGTGTGTGTGTGTGTGTGTGTGTGTGTGTGTGTGTGTGTGTGTGTGTGTGTGGGTTTATTGCTTCTGTGCTTTCATTCCTGGATCTTTGGCTCCTGGTTTGTTTCTTGCTGTTGCTGTTTGTCAGCCTGACAGGTTGGTGTCAAACAGCCGGTGCCGGTTCTGACCGAGTCGGCCTGTTTGGACCGGGCGTGCTGATCCGTCTGCAGCAGCTCTGATTGATCTGAGTCCTGGGCCTGGTTCTGGGGGCCTGGTTCTGGAATCCAGGTCCGGATCGGGTTTGGTTCTGGCTGTTTAATCTCCCATCTAATCTGGATTAAAGTCCTAAAATGTTTCTCCGCCTGGTTGAAGCTCCACCTGTGGATGACGGTGTTCAGGTTTGATTTAAACATTTTGTCCTTTTTCACGTCACCAGTGGGGAACACGCTGCCGCTAACAGCAACGCTAACGTTCAGCTAAAGTCTTTAGCTAACTCTAAAAGCATTTAGTGCACTTTGCTTCTGCGCTAATTTCACCAAATAAATTCTAAAATCTAATTTTCTTGGTTGTTCATGAAACGTTGAGTTGAATAAAGTTTGACATCAGTGATAAGTTTTAGTTATAACTGTTACCAAAACACGAAGCATCATGTTTATATTTATGCTCTTATTTTGAAGTAGCAGAAGTTCAAACAACACATTTTTTTATCCAAATAACTTTGTTTAGAATAAAAACATGTAGAGAACAAGATATAAATATAAGGTAATTATATGTTGTTTGTTAGTTTTGTTTTGTCTTATTTTAACTTTAATAAAATGTTTGTTCTAGAAACTAGAACAGAAATGTTTGGTCAGATTTTCACTTTTTGAAGTGTAAATTAGTGCTGCAGTGTTTGAAGAGCAGATATTATTTAGATTTAAGTTAGCCAACATAGCATCTACTAAATGCTATGTTAGCATAGCACTTTAGCATTATCGATTCATGATTAGCGCTTTAGCTTTGCTATTCCATCCAATGTGTTAAATATCAATAAATACAAATTTGACCATATCGAAATAAAATATTTAAAAATATATTGACATGTGTGATATTTGAACTAAATATCTGCATATTTAAAATAAGTCCATGTTTTGTGTTTATTGTAGGTGGAAGTGAATAAATCAGGTCTTTGTAGCAGTGAGTGGTTCTGCTGCTGCTTGTTGCTCCTGTGGAGATGAAACCTCTTCAGGTTTTGTGTAAAATATCTATAAACACGACTTCATAACGGAGGAATATTGTTTCTAATGACTGAAGAACCGGATCTGAGCTCAGCTCCGGGCCTCCTGCTGTCAATGAGCCGCAGCTACAGCCTTTAATTAGGCTAATTGATGGTGAGAGCCATGCTGCAGTGATGCTGCTGCAGCTGCTGCTGCTGCTGCTGGAGCTGCTGCTGCTGCTGCTGGAGCTGCTGCTGCTGCTGGAGCTGCAGCTGCTGCTGGAGCTGCAGCTGCTGCTGGAGCTGCTGCAGTTGCTGGAGCTGCTGCTGCTGCAGTTGCTGGAGCTGCTGCTGCTGCTGGAGCTGATGCTGCTGCTGCTGCTGGAGCTGATGCTGCAGCTGCTGCTGCAGTTGCTGGAGCTGCTGCAGCTGATATTTTAAATAAGCAAATTAACTCACATTTGCCTAAAATGCAGTGACATTATTCCTTTAGTGAACGATTCCTCGTTTCCTCATCTTCCGCTAAAAATACTTCTAAGATCAACATGATGTTAAATTAAATCATGAAACTTTTCCTGCGGCTTCATTTATGTCTTTGGCTTTTGAAGATCATTTGATCAAATGTTGTTTCTGCTCTTGCTTCACTCCACTGAATCTGTTTGGTTAGTAAATGATCAGATCAGATTTTTCCAGTTGGGGTTTTTGGATCTTCGCTGCGTTTTGTGAGTCTTTGGTTCGGTGGTTTGAATCTGGTGACCCTGGTGGTCATTAATTGGATCCTGCATTTTTTCCTTCCTGTTGATTCTGTAGTTATAATTGCTGCTTTCTGTCTTTATCTCTTCCAACATTCTGCTTCCTTCTGGAAGTTTCTCCTCTGCTGATTCAACGTTTAAGCCAATAAATGCAGACTTACACAGTTTTCCAGTCAAAATTAAATGTTTTAGAGGTTTTTTGCATTTTCTGGTTTCACCACAAAGTAAAGAGAATGAGTGGATGAAAACCGAGTTTTCCAGGCTGCAGGTTTTCTGTCCTGGATGCTGCAGCTGAATGATGATGCATGGAGAGGCGGATGGAGTGAAAGCAGGTGAATGCATCATGTTTGTTGCTGCTGTTTCCTGTTATTATTCCCGCTGAACTTTAACCTCAATGATTCCTCATTAATCGCAGATTGTCTGGAACCAGAATCAGGCTGGAACACTTCGCTCCAATCTGATGGTCAAAAATGAGTTCAAAACGATAAACATCTGCAGTTCAGTTCATAAATCTATTTATTCAATAATTTAGCAGGAAAAATGGCTTTGAATTGAAATAGTTTTTTATTGGTTAAATAATGTGATTAACTCAAACATTTGAATCAAATCCCTCAGTTACTATTAGTAACATCTGACTTGTCACTTCCTGGTTCCTGCAGACTAGTTTTAGTGCCGCAGCAGCAGCAGCAGCTGCAACAGCAGCAGCTTCAGCAGCAGCAGAAGCACCAGCAGCTGCAACAGCTGCAGCAGCTTCAGCAGCAGCAGCAGCTGCAGCAGAAGCAGCAGCTTCACTTTGTTGCCTCCAATTTGCTGACATGAAACCTTCCAGTCGCCTCATTCTGGAGGAACGTCTGCAGGTTCTGGTCACTCTAACCAGGAAGGTTTTTAGTCTGGATTTAAAAGAACTCAGTGTTTCGGCAGTCTTGCAGTTTTCTGGAAGTTTGTTCCAGATTTGTGGTGAACAGAAGCTGAAAGTTGGCTCTCCATGTTTGGACGTGCCGCTCTGGAACAGAAGGCTGCTTTTGGAACCATCTTTATGTGTCTCTGAAGGTCCAGCGTTCATCCTGATCTCTGGTTCCAGCTGTGTCGACTGGACGGTTCTGTTGGGTGAGACGGGAAAACGGAGCTGAATATTCCAGGCTTTGCGGCGTTGTTTCCGTTTTGGTCTTGGGATTGTGTCTGAAAGCCTGAATCCTTGTGGGAACGTGAGTCTAATAGTTTAAGAGGTTTTATTGGAGGTGGCGGTGAGCAGGCGGCTCGTGGGGATCATAAACGTCGGCGTTAACTTTTAGTCCGATCCATCAGGAGCTGCTGGTCGGCCGCAGCCGGGCCCTCAGGCCCGGGTTAAACAAACACTTTAAGGCCATAAAGGAGCAGGATTATCCTCCGGCTGCAGCGCTGCTATTTATAACGGAGTCGCTGCTGCTTTCAAGGTGCTTCTCGCTTTAAACAAGCTGCAGATTGACAAGGAAAAGGCTTTTTGTGCTGCATGCAGGGACTTCCAGTCGTTCACAGCCGACGTTTTGCTGCTCTGACAGTTTAGAGGCGGATGGATGAGGAGGAGCTGCGCTCTGTGATTCAGGATCTGAAAACGCCTGCATCATGTTCAGCTACAGGAAGCAGTTTCCCCTGACTTCCTGTTAATGGCGCCGCTCCGCTCCTCCAGCTCAGATCTGCAGAACCGAATCTGTTCTGCCTGGAGAAAGGCTTCATGCTCAGATTCTGCTTCCTGTTGACCATTAATCCTCACTGCGAGTTAACAGGATCACTGAAATAAATCTCAACTAGTTTAGTTATTGATTCACCATTCAGACGTTTTTCACCCAACTTTATAAAAACCCCAGAAATGATCAAACGTCCAGTTAAGAAATACTTTTACTGCATCTTAGGCCATAAAATGTTTATTTTTTTTATTAAAAAGAATTGTTTGTATTTTTAAAGCGTTTCTACTGCATCAAACAAACAAATGGTTTAAATGAAAAATGTGCAAATATTTTAAATCCAATGAATCAATAAATCATCAGAATAATCAAATAATCTCTTTATTCTCTGCTGTTTGGATCTTAAGCTGCTAGCATGAGGCTAACAGTCAGAGGCCTCCTCACAGCCGTTGTAACACTGTCTGCTACAGCTTCACCATCAATGACTATTGGCAGATTTTTGGATGATATGAGTTATGACAGCATTAATTTGCTCTGTGCTTCTAGAGACGTTTTCTACTTTCTGCTGCCAGAAATGTGATGAATAGAAATCATGAGTTTACATTTTATAACTCGACTGGAAAAATACAAGATGAAGTCAGAATAAATGGGATTAAGAGTTTAAAGGTTTTCAGATGAAGTGAAGTTGAATTAAATTAGATGATCATCATTCATCATAACTTGAAATATTTGACATAATCAATGAATTAGTTTCAGCTGAAGCAGCAGATTCCAGTTTAGTTTTGATGAAATCCTGCATCAGGTCTGCTGCAGCAGCTGCTGCAGCTCCTGCCTGCACAGCTCCTGCTGCAGCCCCTGCTGCAGCTCGTGCTGCAGCTGCAGCTCCTGCCTGCACAGCTCCTGCTGCAGCCCCTGCTGCAGCTCGTGCTGCAGCTGCTGCAGCTGCCTGCACGGCTCTGGTTCCAGTTCAGCCTGTCGGTGGCAGCTGAGCTGTCGGCTGTGGATCCAGGATCAACCGGCCTCCTTCCCGTCGTCCTGCAGGTTTCGCCTCCTGCTTCCCCGTTTCTGACGGTTCCTGCTTTAAATGGCGAGATGAAAGGCGAGGTGATCGATAGGTCCTGAACCGCGGCGGCGCGCGGCTCCTCCATCAGCGAGGAGCCATCGACCCGCCGCCGTCGAGCCGCTGATCAAACAGCTGCTGATGGGAGGAATTTGTAATTTTCCTGCTGATATCAAAGTATTGATCAGGAGGAGGAAGGCTGGACAGGATCAGCGTTACAGTCGGCTGCAGCCAAATCAATCATGTGATCAGTTGGATGCTAATGGAGGTGATGGAGGATGGCTGCTGCTGCTGCTGCTGCTGCTGCAGCTGCTGCTGCTGCTGCTGCTGCTGCTG